ATAAATCAAAATAATTTGGCTCCTGAATACCTGGGGCATTGCTGGAGGGCTACTGCTCTAATTTGTGCCAGCTTGGGCCTCTTCTCTTCCCTGTCCCAGAAACTCATATCATTAAACAATAGAATCAAATGCACATACATCAACCAGCTAACAATGGAAAAGGACACTGAGGGGAAAAAAAAGAAAAGTACCATAGGTACAGAAAGATCATTTATCTTGCTGTCTGATTTGAAGCTCACAAAAAAAAAAAAATAAGCATGTATCCTGAATGAATAAATACTCTGAAAATGTTATTGGCATTGGGATTAGGGGAGAAATGTTCAGCATACTAGGACAAAGTAATAGGTTGGTAGCATGACTGCCTACAGAGACACTATCCAGGGAAAAGAGGTTGTAGATGTGACCGGGATGGTGTCATACGCAGAGGAGGTACTGCCATCACTCTTAAAAAATCATAAGCAAGGTTCTGTTAAAATAGATAACGTAATCATCCTCTCTCTCTCTCTTTTGTTTGAGTTTCTGAAGGATTATTTGACTGACTTTCTTTTATGAAACTTTTAGAAAACATTTACTTCTTCAGCAACTAGCTATTGATCACATCAACCCCTAGAGGGCCACCTTGCATTGAGAGCCTGCAAGAAGAAACCATTAGGAATGCTTTTGATACATTTTTTTACAGCAGCGCATCAGTGCACATACCTGGTAAAAATTAAAATTATTTGAAAATGTAGGAGATGATAGCTTTGAAAGATCAACATTAAATGATGATTCTGTCTGTATATAAACAGATAAAGAATAAGTGTAGAAGATGATAGATTATTCAGAGTTTAATGATTTCAAATGTAACATAGTACATTGGGTTTATTTATCTTTATTCTGAAAATACCTTGCAAGGATGTAAAACTAAGTGAAAGATTAAGGCTACAAGTACAGTCCTTAGATCTGACTCTTAAAACTATATCTATTTGTACAGATAGTCAAGTGATTAGGGCACTGGAGAATTCAGTTAAACTTTCTGCCCTGTCGTACACTTTTCATCTCAGTCTGGGCAAGTGACTTAGCCTCTCAGTGTCTCAGTTCCTTATCTAGAAAATAGTAATAATACTACTCCAGCATGTAGAATAAAAGAATAAAAACCAGTATATTGAAATATTATGAGATGCTTGGAACTATAGTGATGGTAGCCGTACATATAAGTAACCTATCTGCTTTCAGCTGAGCTGCTAACATCAGTTACAGGGAACACTCTGCTTCAGAATAACAACATATATATTGTCTTGACAACTTTAAAAAAAAGAACCCATGCAAACAAAAAAAACAGAAATGAAAGGAATGTGAACACTGTAACACAGATTTTTACTGGATTAGAGAAGTGGTCCATCTACTCTATTGTCAGATGCTTCAGAAGGAGCTACAAGGAACCCAGAGTAGACAGACATAGAATGACTTGTGCTCAGTGAAAACCTCCTCTTTACTTCCTGTAAGTTAGAGCTTGGTTTATACACTGAAGCATCAATCTTGGGGATTTAACTATTATATAACTGTATTATATGTAGGACATCAAAAAGAAAGGTTAAATTCACAACTCCATATGTTTTGCTAAATGTCTTTGTAACAGCAGATCCAGAAAAAGGCAATCATGTCAATCCCAAGAAAGCTAGTGTCTTGAGGCACAACTGATTTGTATTTTTTTTTTGTGACTTTACAGATTCAGTTTTGAGGGCATGTTTAAAACTACTACTACCTATGCAGATGGATGGAAAATGTATTAACTCAGAAAAATACTAAAAGCATCATTTCCCCACCCTGCCCCCCAAAATGTACAGGTGGAAACCTTGGGTTGTTTTTGGTTTTTTTACACAGCCCCCGCAAAATTCAGAATTCAGTCCTTAAAAACCAATAATGAAAACAGAGCTTCACTTTCATCTTTTCTATTGAATTAAAAAGCTGACAATTTAGAAAGAAACTATCCTAATTTAAAATGTTTCCTTAGTAACAGAATAATTGGCTGATGTATCTCTGGTACTTAATTAATTGTTAGGTAACTCGGGGGTTTTTCCGAAGCATCCCTGCCACGCCAGATGGTGCAGGAGTGTGAGTTGAGGCCTGATCACTCCTTAAAGCAGCCATGTTCAACTGGGACCCTGGGGGTGCCTTGAGATCCTTTCAAGGGTGATGCAGCCAGGATTTTGGGGGGCAATCGCTTTCATGGGACATGGTGCCCTGTGGGGATAGAGGGTGACCAGCATCATCTTGAAGCACCCCTGGGGCTCCAAGGTCATCTGAAGACGAAGACTTTCCCCTGGGAAGCTAGTCTCACTCTATACCAGCTCCACAGTTGATCCAGGACCAGATCTCCCCACCCCACAGACATCCTTGCCTGAAGCAGGAGCCTGGCATTGCCCCTTGAAGTTAGCTGCTAAAAGCCCCCAGCTCCTGGCACTGGCCCTTGAAGTTAGCTGTGAGATGCCGGCAGACATGAGGGATGCAAACAGGATTTCCAAAGATCCACCCAGAGATACCCAGGGGGAATCACAGTGGCGGGACCAATTTAACCCTTTAGTGGGCCCTAGGCCGGGGTGGGCAATTATTTTGGGCGGAGGACCACTTACCCAGTTTTGGCAGGCTGTCGAGGGCCGCATGGGTAGCCTTGCCCCTTGACAGGTACCCTGCCCCGGTCACCATCTTGAGACCAGTGTCCCAATGTCTTGGGACCAATGTCCCAGGGCCAGCACCAGTGGGGCCCAAAGCGGGGCACAGGCTGGCAGGGGTCTGTGGAGCCGGGCTGGGCTGCACCAGCAGGGAGAGTGGGGGAGCTGGCCTGGCTCCATAGAGCTCCTGCCACCCTGTTCTGGGCCCTGCTGGCACCGGCCTCGGGACACCGGTGCAGGCCCTGCGCTCCCGCTTGCTCCCCGCCCACTCACTCCCAGTGCCCCCCAGTCCCATGGTACAGGCAGGGGGCAGTGCACAGCCCCGACCCCCTGGTTGCTGGCAGGGAAGAAGCTGGTGCTGAACTTGGGGAAAAGCAGCCCCTCACTTGCCTTGTGGCCGGCGCTTCCTGCTGCAGCCGCTCGTAGCCCATGCGGGGCTGTCTGGAGCAGGCACAGGCAGCCCCAGGCTGGCTGTGAGTGGCTGCAGTGTGAGGCGCCGGCCATGGGGCTTTCCCCCCGCCTCATGCTCAACTTTTCTCTGGGTCACTTTTCCCTGGGCTCCTTCCCTGCCCGGGGTCCCCCCCTTACCTGAGGTTCCGGCGTGGGGCAGCCACATGGTCCTAGGCCAGAAGCCCTGGCTGGGACTTCTGGCTGGGGGGGCGGGGCCGGGCGGGCCCTGCTGTTGTGGGAGCCCACTGGGCTTTCCCTGGGTCCTACTGCCCTTAGTTCCTGTCATTTTTGACTGGAACCAAGGGCAGATGAATATTAATTTTCTAAATTTTTAGGGGCCCCGCAGGCCAGATAGAATGGCCTCATGGGCCAGATCCAGCCCGCAGGCCATATTTTGCCCACCCCTGCCCTAGACAAACAAACTCATGGGCCCCTACTTAATGCTGTATATTTATATTACTTTGTTTGCACTTAATAATCATAATATGTAAAATAAGCACAACTGGGCCCCTTCTTCACTTAGGGCTAGGGTTGCCAACTCTCTTTGAATCTATTCCGGGAGGTTTCATCACATGATGTAATGACAGTCATAACTTGACATCAGGAAAGCAAAGGCACATTACTATTACATTTTAAAAATCCACTGGCCTACTGTCTGAATCGGATTTAACATGTAATATTTATTGGAATGAATAAATGCCCTAACACAGGGGTGGACAAAATGTGGCCCGGGGGCCAGATGCGGCCCGTCAGGCCATTCTATCCAGCCCACGGGGCCCCTAAAAAATTTAGAAACTTAATATTAATCTGCCCTGGGCTGCCTGTCATGCAGCCCTCAATGGCTTGCCACAACTCAGTAAGTGGCCCTCTGCCCAAAATAATTGCCTGCCCCTGCCCTAGCACGTATCTCCCAGGTGACTCTCAGCAGTCTCCAGGAGATTTATTTCTAATTCCTGGAGACTCCAGGGCAATCCTGGTGGGCTGGCACCCCCACTTAGGGGCCCAGGCATGGGTGTAGTTTGCCTGTGCATTGAAGCAGCCAAACCATGCTGACCTGCTGGGGCTTGTTGGGGCAAAAAAAAAAAAAAAAAAAGAGGCTTTATTGGATTTTGGTGGGGTAAACGGGAAGGAGGGAAAGCTAGGAGCCTGAGCCTGAGGCAGGCAAGGTGGTTCTTTGGCTAGAGGTGAACGCTTTCATTAGCCCAAAGATGAAATGATCGAATCAATTATACGTATTAGACGAAAGATTTCCCGCCTGCCTAACCCGGCTACAACCAAGACCCCGAGTGTAGGGGGTCGCGACCCGCCGGCTCCATCCACGCCCAGGCTCCCTCCTCGTAGCGGAGCCCCGCCCCGCCCCGCCCCGCCAGGA